CTTTTGCTTTTCAAGGAGAGGAGCAAATGGGAAGGGGGGAGGGGGAGGGGTTTGTGCGGGGAGAAGGGTGCAACAATGAATGAATGGAATCCAAAAAAAAACAACACAGTCACTGTTGCAAATAATAAACATATTTTGCATTCTCAAAAAAAAATATGAAATACATATAATAAATGCTAATTTGTGAACTGTATCACCTAAAGCCCCTGTATACTACATCAGAGTTTAGAAAAAAGTGAGAGCGTAAGAAAATGTTTCCCCGGAAGTCCTGAGGGAGTAGCCTCCTTTCCTTACATATATCAGACATCTTAAGTCAACTATCATCAAATCTTCTCTAGTCACTAGGCTGCCTACTTCCTCATGACTAAAAAATTATGAAAATATTTATTTTATAAGAAATCATCACGGGATTGGGTGAGTTACTAAGCAAATGGGAACAAGTTTAAGGCAAAGTAATGTACTACAGTTGACTGAAGCTCAACAGTCCACACAGTGATGCAAATGTTTACTTGCTATTTTAAACCTGACCTGTGGCAGTACTGCACGCCATATTACATCATTCCACTGACTTTAATCTCTAGCTTTGACTCTCTGGTAGATTATTTTTAATTTAAAAATGAGCTCTTGCCCTATAAAATAAGCAGCTCTTGGGGGAGGATGGAAGGCAGAGAAGTTACTTACAAATAAAAACAATGATGATATTATTTCAAATTCTAAGTTCAAGAGAATGAAGTTTACTGGATAGCTCCGGGTTACAATGAGACAAAGCAAATATTATCTTTGAAACTGCCCCTGAGTAATTGCAGGTGTAGGGAAAAAGATGTTATTATGAGGCCACAAAATGCAATTCTACGCAGTCATTTAAAACAGAATGAAGTGTAGCTCAATGGGTAGTACAATTGAATGGACTGAGAAATTGTGGTACATTCACATGATGGAATACTACGCAGCACTCAGGAGCAATGATTTAAAAAATTACTACATAACTTGGGAGAGACTGGACGGCATTTTGTCAAGTGAACTAACTCAGTCTCATAAGGATAAATACTGCAAAGGACCATTATTGTAAAAACAGAAGGATAACTTGTAAAATGTGTATGGGGATCCAACGGAGGCAGGGGTGGGAACAGAGGAAAGTGGGCAGTAGGGACACCACTGGGCAGCACAATTTGGTGGGTAAGGGGAAAAAGCGGTAAAGAAAATGGGAAAGATTAGGTGGGAATCTGTAAAGACAGGGTAATGATGGGCGTGGTTTAATGGTGATTATTTTTATAAAACATGAATGAGAATGACTGAAACACAATATGAGTGAAAGATAATGTGAAACAGTGTATACGAACTTTGAACGCAAACCAATGTAAAATTTAAAAAATAGTAAAAAAATTTAAAAATGTATGGTAATATGAATTAAAAATAGCAACTTGCACAAATTCTGTTTGGAGAACTTATGTTGAGTCTGTGCACTTGTATATATAAACCTTCCTGATGCACACTGACTTCTATGATTCTATATTTGTCTGTAAGAGTACATTTATAAATTGTTAGAAAACATTCCATAAATATACAAACTAAACCTAGCAAAGGTGGGAAAACATACAACACGTTTTAGTGTTTCACTGGGTTTTTTCCTTTTCATATTCCACGCCCCACCCCCAACACTGATCTTAAACAAAGTGATGGGCTTAAAAAAAGAAACAAACTTACCATAACAAATCCCTGTAAAACAATAGTTCTACAAACCCTTTCTGTTAAATTCCTAATAAAGCCTAGGTTTTTATCTCATCCAGAAAAAGAAGTGCAGCCACAACTCCCAGTCCTTTCTAGCCCTGGAAAGACCCAGTGAAGGAAAGGCGTGGCTTTGCAGGGTGGCTTCCCTGTGGCTGGAGGAAAACAGGCGGCTGAACTCCCCAGAGCTCCCACGTGTCAGAGGTGAGCGCGCGGAGGGCAGGAGACAATCCCGGACTAGCTCTACTTGACCAAGTGCTGGGTTCAGCTCGCCCAAGTCCTCAATCCTCAACATCCTAAAGATTTCTGGTCCAAGTTTTACTTGCGTGGCCCAGCATTTCAGGGCGCACCTAACTCCCTATCCGCAACGGCCTTGGACACTGGGCTGAGTGGGCAGTAATGTGCTCTAATAAACAGGGGACGCCAGTTAATCTGGGCAAATTAACAGCCCAAAGAAGCTACTAACAAGTAGCAGGTGGGCACAGAGAGGTGCAAGTCAGATAAAGTGTAAAGATTCTGACTGGCGTTTTTAACAGGAGAGGTGCCACTTGCCTTTCGGGGCCTGTAACTGAGCTGGAGGCCTCAGGAGTTGAGGAAGACTGCCGGGTGGGGGTGAGCAGGGGGTACCGGGGCTTACCTTACAGGGGAACAGCACAGCCGAGGCCACCTTCTCCATAGCCAGGTTCCTGATGCTGGGCGTCAGAGCGCCCCTGCACGTCGGGCAGCAGCTTAACTTCTGGCGGCATTGGTTACACACCAGGTGCCCGGCCTGGCACTGCAGGATGGGAGGCAGGACATAATCAAAGCAGACCGGGCACTCGAAGAGCGAGGTGAGCTCGTGGTGCTGCGGGGATACCGGGCCGGCCCCACCGCCGCCGCCTCCGCCGGGGCCCGAAATCACCGCCGCCGCGGCTGGCACCGCGGACGAGCCGGGGCCCGCAGCCGAGATGGTGGCGGCGGCTGTGGGCGCTGCCGGGGACAGAACGTGCTGGGGCGGCGGCGGCGGCGGCTGCTTGCTGCAGGGTTTGCTAGCGCTGGGGCCGGTGGAGGACGGGCGGCTCATTGCGTTCTGAGCCAACCATGGAAGTGCGGGCGCCTGCCTGCCGCGGGGCCGCCGGTGTCAAGCCGGAGCGCGCCCCGCGGACGGCGGGCTCTGGGGCAGCGCCACAGCGCCCAGCACAGCACCAAGCCACGGACACTCCCTGCGCCCTACAGGCGGCGGTTGGAGCCAATGGCGCTCCTTTGGGTCCAGGCACTGCAGAGCCCCCTGCGCGCTCAGCCTCACGCGGCGTTCTCCTCGCGGTTGTCGGGGGCCCGAACACCAGCCGTACTAAGTGCCCTCCAGCCAGCCGAGCGGTAGCTGACGCAAGCCCCGGGGGCGCGCGCGGACGTGACGCCGAGACACGTGTGCTGCCGCCCTAGCTCAGGGGACTGGTAGAGCCCCCTTGCGCCGCGCCTTGCGCTCCGCCCGGCTCCGCAGGCGTGCAGGGAGCGGCCCAGCGTGGGGTTCGGAGCTGCGGCCGGAGGCCCGCCCCGCGCCAGTGAGCACGCCCGGGCCACGGTCCCTCCGGGCTTGGCCTTTCCGGGGTGGGCGGGGAGGGCCCTACCGCGAAGGCGTCGCCCAGCTCTCCTGGCCGCGCCTTGGAGCCACCCTGGCGTGTTACCAGACTCAAACCAGAAGGGCAACTTGGGGCCGCGTGTGGGCGGGGATGGACGCCCCTAGTCAGGTCGGAAAAACCTGAGCCCTTCTCTTCTGGAGTTGAGTCACCAACGCGCGGGGGATGTCGAGCGGCGGTGGTGAGCCGAGCGTTGCATCTGGAGCACGGGGTCAAGCGGAAGAACTTTGGACTGCAGCAGACCTAGTACCAGTACAGGTAGAGGCCAGCTCCTTGGTCCTGTTTCTCAACGTGGGGAAGAAATAATCTTCGTTGATTATGTACCGGCGGCCTAGAGAAAGTCACTTCCAATTGAACGCCTTCTATGTGCATAATTGGCCAGGGAAGAAGTTAATGTTCGTAAAGTTCGTAAGAGACAAACTGGCATCAAGCTTAGAAGCCCTTGTCTATATATAGTATAAAGAGACTGCCAAATACAGCCAGAAATGCACAATCTGAAGAGGATAAAATTGATGAATGGGACCTTCAAAAGATTAAATCCCTGTGTGCATCAAAGTTTAATTTCTTAAGGGCATCTAGAAAGACCACAGGAATGGGATTGGTGGAATTTGATCTAAATCTTCTTGTTATGTGCTCTCGAGTCCCTTGCAACTCATAGCTACCCTGTGTACAACAGCCCTGAACCCTGATCCATCCTGTGCTAATCCTATTCTCCTACACACCTACCCCCATTACCCAGTCACTGAATCAATCCATCTCATCAAAGGTCTTCCTCTCTTGCACTGTCCCTCCACTCTCCCAAGTTTAATGTCCCTCTCCAAGGACTAGCCCCTCGCAACATGCCCAAGGTATGCCAGATGAAGCCTCAGAGTCCTTTCCTCCAAGGAGCAGCAGCCTGTCCTGGCAGCCCATGCTATATTCTATACTCTTCTCCAGCATCACAGCTCAAAGGCATCAGATCTAAATCTTGAAGAAGGAAAATAGATGGGGGTAACATTCAATTATTCAGTGTCTCCTGAATATTTATTATGTTCTACGTCCTGTTTGGGCTCTAAGAATGTCTCTCATCCTGTTTCCAGTCATTCCAGTAAGAGAGCAAAGGACAGTAAAGAAATGAAGAGGATTCCAGTGCAAGTAGGTGCTTCTTAAGAGGCACAGAGGGAGAAACTTCATTTCAAGTACTATGGACATGTTATTAGGAGGGGCCAGTCCTTGGAAAAAGATATTCTGGGAAAGAATCGTCAAAAGAAAGGAAGAGCCTCAGGTGAATTGACACAGTGACTATAAGTATCGGCTCCACCATGACAGAGAACGTGAAGATTACATGGGAGAGGGCAAGTTTCTGCTCTATTCGTAGAGTTGCTGTGTGACTCGTGGTCAACCAGACAATGCCTAACACCACCACTAAGAGAGAGGGGGCTTGTAGGGAGCCATTTTGTAATGGTTAAAACAGAGAATGCTAGAGAATACTGCAATGCTAGAGTAGATGAGGGCTCAGAGGACAAGATGAGAGTGTTAATGGTGTAGGGCAATGGGGGAAGTGGCTTGCTAAGACTGTTACTTCAGTAGCAAAGGAGACCACTGTGGATTTTTGAGAAAGACTTTAACATGACTAAACCTGAAGTTTCAGAAAACATTGTAGTATAAACTAACACTTACTGATTGTTCACCTTGTGGACAATTTAAAGAATTCATTTAAGAATGATTCTTTTCAACCTCACAACAATGTAACAAATTAGTCCTGTTAGTATCATCATCTCCATGTTACAGCTGAGGAAACTGAGGCATATGGAGGTTAAGTAATTCCCTCAGGATGACACAGCTGATAATGCTGTGAACGCTCCAGCCCTTTCTTAACTACTCATCTGAATCCTTCTCAATTATGTCTTACTCCTACTTAGAGTCTGGTTGAGGAGTTCAGATTAGCACTTACTCAACACAGAACAGTTGAATGGCCTGTGTTAAAGTGCTGCATTTTTGGGGGCAAACTTTAAATCTTTTCCTTAGTGGGTTGTGGAAGAAAGAAAATTTAAATCAGAATCTGTTCCATGTTCACCATTTTATGACATAAATAACATGTTAGTGGCAGTGACAGAAATAAAAATCACCCACAGTTTCACTTTTATTGGAGGAAATGTAATGTTTTCAATTCATAACTTAAGCCCTAAGTCAGCGGAAATAATTAACAAGAGTTTATTTCCTTTCTCTCCACCTCTGGCCTCTGGTACATGTAAGCCCTTCCTAGAACTAGTATTTAAGAAATGGATAAGGGAGATTTCCACTCTTGTCATCTCACCATTCCTTTTCAGTGTTTCCTGTCCTGGCTCCTCAAAAAAAGCAATTTGCTTTGGGAAATGTTGAAACAAAGAATAAGAAAAACAATTCTCTGCAGAGAAAATCTGGTTTATCTGTCTAAAAATAAAACAAATTCATCCCTCCTCCCTAGGAAGATGCCTGCCATGCTGTAGAGAGGGGTTTTTTTTCCCTTGCTTCCTCCTCCACATCATTGCACTTCTTATTATATCGACCAGGGCAGTATTAAACAATACAAAACAAAAGCTGCTCCTAACAAAACTTTGGACAAAGTGGCAGCAGAGTGGATAGGCCTGCTGGTTGACCCAAACCAGGCTTCCTGGCCAGTCTTTCCAGTTTTTCTTATTCCTTATTCTTTGGGTTTTTTTAATCAGATGAAGGTGGCCTGTTTTATGATATAGAACAGTTTTTGTAAGGAGGACAGCCCCCACTTAGGCACATAAAACGGGAGGTTTAATTGCCCTTAGTAGTAGTGCTGTTACCTGGAGGTTGTTGTTTTAGCCTTTTGTTACCTACTGACTTGTGAGTCATTTGCCACATCTACTGGATGACAGGTTAGTGTCTTCCCCCACTGAGTCCCAAATTGTGTAAGAGAGAGATGTGTCAAGCAGGACAGTATCCTTAACCTGTCTTCTCTATGCTGACCTTTGAAGACTGAGGTAACCTTTTCTTAAAATATCATTGTGGGTCTTGTTAAAACCAACAAAACAACAGCAACACAAAAACAAATTAAAAAACCCTACCAAGTGATCCTCTGATATCACCTGAACTGCTGAACATAAGTGAGAAAGTCTGGAGCTAGACAGGCAACTGCTTGCCTTTTGTAGCTTGGTAATTGTGTGGTTTTGCAAATTGGGCAATGTTTTACAATCCGGCAAATGGTGTGTATTTTCAGAGCAAAATGTGGTCAGCTTTTACTGTTTAGGTTTAAAAATGACTCAGGAGTGCACTGGAGCTTGCTTTGTGGAGACTTCTGATAAAGGAGAAAAAGCTCATGGGAAATTTGGAGGTGACTAATGGGGGCACATGGTGATTGTAGTAGGAACTTGTAGCTCTGTTTCTGGTGGTAATTTCCATATGCTCAAACTTCTCTTGAACGATTATGAGATGGTCAATTGGTTGGCTTTTTTTGAAAAAAATAAAAACCAAAACAAACAAACATAACAAAACAAAAAAACCTCCAAGCACCATGGTTCTAGTAGTGTGTGCTACACAAAGTAGGTATATGTATTTGCATAAGTTTTGTGACCATACATAGCTGATGTTTCTATAGTGTTCACCTTGTGCTAGATTCTGTTCTAAGCACCTGTGTAATTTTAATCCTCACAATGTATTAATCCTTTCAACTTGCTTTATGAGGTTGATACTTACTGGTAACAAAATGAAGGTACAAAGAGGCCCGGTAACCTTTAAGATGTTTCCCAGTGATCCTGCTTCTCAGCAGTTTGTCCCCTTGTGTAATCATTTTTCTTTAAACAAATAGGCTACAGCAAAAATATTGGAATGATATTTTGAAGATAAAGGCAGCATGGGATGAAAAAGTAAAATATCACAATGAAATTTGCAAGGAGTTGGAGTCAGAAAACCAAAAGGGTCGAACTCGCTCAGCATTTCTTAAGCTCAAGGAATTGAAGAACAAATTCAAACCTCGAGTTGTTGTACAAGGATGCTTTAGGCAGAGTATTGAATGATCCAGAAAGTATCAAAAGAAGACGGAAAGAATATACTGAGTCATTGTATTGAAAGGAATTAGCAGACAAGGAATAATTTAATAAAACAACATATGAGCAAGAGCCTATGGTGATGAAGGAAGAAGTTCAAGCTGCTTTGAAAGAAATAACAAAAAATAAGGCCCCAGGAATAGATGGTATACCAATTGATATATTTCAGCTAACAGATGCTGCACTGGATGTGCTCACCAAGTTGTGTCAAGAAATCTGGAGAACAACCACTTGGCCATCTGACTGGAAGAGATCTATATTTGTTCCCATTCCAAAGAAAAGTGACCCAACAGAGTGTGGAAACTATAGAAAAATATCGTTGATTTCACATGCAAGCAAGATTCTGCTGAAGATTATCCAAAAACGACTGAAACAGCACATCAGCAGAGAACTGCCAGAAGTCCAGGCTGGGTTTAGAAGGGGTCGTGGTACTAGGGATA